TACAAAATTTCTCAATCAGATGTCAACTTGTCGCACCTTTTTCACACTTTACATTAAAGGTTACACTTATGTAGGTTTCTTTTGCTCTGAGAATTCAAGGTTCTTCAGTGACTTTTCTGGTCTTCCCTTGCCCTACAATGTAGGGGTTGTTGTAATAAGGTAAGCAAGAGATGAGGATAATCAAAACTAAGTAGTAGGGCTGTAGATATAAAGAAAAAGATAGAGTGAAGCAATGTAAAAGGTAGATTCAACTGGCCTCGAGAACCAGTGAAAAATATTGAGAGATGTGGAGGAAGCAGTCTAGGATTCTTTCAAGATTTCTAACTTAGATGAGCGTGTTGATGGCAGAATCATTCATCCAAATAAGGATTAATGTAGAGCAATTTCGAGTGGAAGAAAAATAACGAGTTTTAGTTGAGGTCGCGTTGACCCTGAGATATTTATGGGACAACATGGTATCTAAGAAACAGAAATATAAACAACAGAGACATAAAGTGAGAAATATAAATTGGGACAATTTAGTGGGTACCTGAAATTACTGGGTTGGATCAAATCCACTAACTGACAGTGAGATGTCTGAGATACCAACCCTGAAGAATAGAATAATTGACAAAATTGCTGCAAAAAGAGATCCCCGAGAAGATTAAGAAGTGCATAGAGATGAAGGGGAAAACATAAAAATAAGGAAGCCAAGGGAGGAGAAGAGTTTCAAGAAGGAAAGAAAAGCAAACACTGCCTGATACTTTGAAGCGTCCATCAAGAATGACCAGGAAAGATTTGCTGGTTTTTAGCAGTTCCAGGTTTTCCAATGGCTTCCCCAAGAACAGCTGCAGAGGAGCAGTGAAGTGAGGTTGCAGTGGGTCCAGGAGAAAACCGCAGGTGATAAATTTAACCTCAGATAGAGATGATTCTTTCAAGAATCTTGGTTAAGAAAGAAGGTAAGGGGGCTGGCCCCATGGCCAAGTGGTCAAGTCCGCGCGCTCTGCTTCAGCGGCCCAGGCTGTCACCAGTTCGGATTCTGGGCACAGATCTAGCATTGCTCATCAGGCCATGCTGAGGCAGTGTCCCACATAGCAGAGCCAGAAGGACCTACAATTAGAATATACAACTATGTACTGGGGGGCTTAAGGGAGAAGGAAAACAAAGAGGGGAAGATTGGCAACAGACATTAGCTCAGGGCCAATCTTTAAAAAAAAAGAAAAAAAGAAAGAAAGAAGGTAAGGAGGGGCCCAGCCTGGTGCCATAGTGGTTAAATTCACATTCTCTGCTTTGGCGGCCTGAGTTCACAGGTTTGGATCCCAGGTGCAGACCCACACACTGCCCATCAAGCCATGCTGTGGCAGTGTCCCACATATAAAATACAGGAAGACGGGCACAGATGTTAGCTCAAGGCCACTCTTCTTCAAGCAAAAAAGGGGAAGATTGGCAACAGATGTTAGCTCAGGGCCAATCTTCCTCACCAAAAAAAAAAAAAAAAAGGGTAAGGAGAGAACTGGAATAGCTCAAGTGGCACACAGGATTCAGTTTACAGGGAGTAACAGAGGCACTGCTTGGAAGTCAAATGCTTTTGTCCCTTTTTCCCTTTAGGCCCTGCATGTAAAGTGCTTCTAAAATAAAGATTTTTGTAAAATTTACGTGAGACCCAACTATCATCATTTCAATGTAAATTAATAAGAAAATATCTTCTCACTAATTTCCACATGACAGAATTTACTGGAATCCTAAAATTAAGTTTACTTTGTATTTAGCCAATATATTTTGAATTTATTATTTACATGAAATTTTCATTCAGAGTATTGTTAAATATCCAGAAACATAATAATAACAACCCAACCTAACATTTTTTGGGCACTTAAAATATGCCAGGCACTGTTTTAAGTGCATTTATTTTATTTATCTTTACCTCCCCACACAAGAATCCATGAAGCAAGTCCTTTTTTTATCTCCATTTCATAGAAACACACAGAGAGGGTACCTTACCAGCATCCGGTAATAAGTGGCAGATCTGGGTTCAAACCCAGGCAGCACCAGAGTCCATACTTCTAACCATCATGCCATCTTGCCTCCTAGTCACAAATTGCAACTATCATTACACAAAAAGAGACACCTCAGACAATACTGTCTTGTTCTTCAACTTCTTTCTTCACTAACTTTCAGGAACTTTTTTTCTCCCCCCTGAATTGAACTTGAACAATAGAAAAGGCTGGCTGAGTCATTTGTGTAATTACACCAGTATTTAGACAAATTCAAACTTGGGTATGTTTATCCCTCTGTTGAAGAGGGTTCCTTAGCTACTCAGGCTCACGCTCCAACTGGGAACTGACGAAGGATCCAGCTGGCATGAAAAGGTCATGGCCAGCGGGCCACTGGGCAGGGTATATAATTGGGAGATTTTAAAATGGTTTCTGATTGTCAAAGTTAGAACTGAGATCCAGGGGAAAAGCAAATTTATTTCACATGAAAACCTTTCAAGACATTTATACAAAAATCATTGTGAAGAACCAAACTCTTCCTCTCAGACTCAAGATCCAAACCTTGAGAATGCTTCAATAATAAAAATAAAACAAAGGGGGAGCTACTTCTCTCTCAGCTCATATTAAATGGATGGGTCACAGTTTGCAGCACGACTGCACACATCTTTTTTCAATTTCCTATTATGAGCTACACAGTTAGCCACACAAAATAATATCAAGTTAAAAAATAAACGACAATGCACGAAGCCAACGTTCTCCAGTGGAGCTGGAACAATATACAGATAAATTGATGTATAGACATTACAGGAAGGAAGCAGACTCAATGGCTTTCTAAACTCCCTATAGTTTTAAATCCATAGTGTGCTGAGAAATATGGGTATTCCTCTAATCACTCACAGATATACTACTTCAAGCAATTCATAAACCTGACATCAAATTAGCATTGGACAAGATCTAATCTGAATACACATTAGCTCCTCCTCACTGAGTGTTTAGAAGTTAGTAAATAAAGAAAAATATTTAATATTTTCACTTCAAAGAACAATATATCTGCTTGGCACACCTTCACACTAAACCTTTCTGAAGACAAATTTAAATGTACTAATTGGAAAAAGGGAGATAATACTTGCTGTGAGCCTTTGGGTATCTTAATGTACACTAGGAGTCTTGTTTATGCGATCTCAGTATTCCTCACTACATCTCTGTCTAGAAGGTTCTATCATCACTCCCAATTTGGGAAAACAAAAACCAAAAACTGAGGCTCAGAGTTAAATAACTAGTCCAAGTTCACTGAGCTAGCAAGTAGCAGAGCTGAGACGGGAACCCAGTTCTGTCTGCTTCCAAAATTCCTTCCACTTCAAATGTTCCCTCTGTGAGTAATAAAAACCATGGTTTCTCAAAATTTGGATATAATGGAAATGTAGAAATTAAATAATAAATATTAAATAGCAAAAGGATGAACTCAGCTTTATAATAAGTGGATAATAATAGGAGATTTCTGTAATGTTCTTCCTTTACATTAAAATGTAAGACAAGTCATATAAAAACTAATCTGTATTAAAGATATCATTTACTCACTGACAGTCCATGAGAATCACAGTGTAATTATTAGAAGAGTCACTAATTTTTCAAAAGACCATACTGTCCTAGAGTTTGATTTAGACTGGGAAAAAATGAATATATGCACTGCTTAATGGCATAGACTCCATTGATTATTCACTAATGGGGTTTCTACATAAGATTATTGAAAGAATAATTTTATTTCAGTCAATATATATTCAACATCAGGTGGACAAGCACATTCTCAATGAAAATTGTGTATAGTTAAGATTGTATACTGCAAGTAACAAAACTCCAACTTAAACTAGTTTAGACAATAAACGAAATGTGTTAGCTCACATGATGAGATCAGAAATATAACTAGTTTCTGGGAAGATTGGACCCAAGGGCTCAAAAACCAGCACCCAGAACGTCATTCTTAAGCCTCTCTCTGCTCTGTTTTCTTTTTCTTTTTTTTTTTTTTTTTTTGAGGAAGATTAGCCCTGAGCTAACATCCACCACCAATCCTCCTCTTTTTGCTGAGAAAGATTGGCCCTGAGGTAACATCTAACACACATGCCCATCTTCCTCTATTTTACCTGACACGCCTGCCACAGCATGGCTTGATAAGCAGTGCCATAGGTGAGCACCCAGGATCCCAACCGGCAAACCCCAGGCCAGGCCGCCAAAGAGGAACACGCAAACCTAACCGCTGCACCACTGGGCCAGCCCCTCATGGTTCTGTTTCTGCTTGACCTTCAGGCTCCCTGTGAAGGCTCTCTCGGCTCTCCTTGTAGCAACAATGGCTCACATAGATACAGACCTCTCAAGCTCACCACATATTATTGTGGAGAAAAAGGATGGTCTCATCTCATAGTTTTCGCAGTAAAGAAACAAAACCCCCCAATTATTGCACATTTCATTGGCTCTGGTTGATGGGGGGATGCCATACAAGGATTGACGTAAGCCTGCAGGACTGCTACCCTGTAACCGGGAGAAGACATCCCATTCAAGACACTTGGAAGCAGAATTGGAAAGGGCTAGGTTCTCAAAGGAGAACTCAGGATACGATGAAGATGGGGAAAGGATGTTTGGCGTCGTCCGAATTACAAATGTCCAGTACAAATTAAAACAGTTCTAAACAAGACAATGACATGAACACAAGTAATCTCCCAGGCTGAAAAAGCTCCCATGACAAGAATAAAATTAATAATTATATTAGGCAACAGGTATTGATTAATGATTAAGTCGAAAGCTGAGCCCTTTCATGTTTTACTCAATTGAAACCTCACAACTACCTGAGAGGTAGGTGTTATTATTATACCCGTATTTTACAGAGGAGGAAATTGAGACCCAGAATATTGAGGTAATTTTTCCACTATCAAAAAAGATGAAAGCCTGCATTGTCTCTGTAAACTATGGAAGGCTGCCATCTAGAGGACAGAAACTTTGAAGGAAAATTGGAGACACAACACAGATAAGGCTAGATTCATTCAACAAATATTTATTGAGCACTTACTACGTGTACATATTGGGTTGGGCACTGGGGGCACTGCGCTGGGTGCTGAGCTGAAGAAAAGCCAACTTGTGACTCCAGCCCTCACGCTATGTCCCCAATCCAGCTTTCTCACAGTGCCACAAACCTACCAAACCTCTCCTGCCTCTGGGCCTTTATACATCTCATTCTTTCTCCTTCTTCTCTACCCATAAATCTCCTCTCTTCACTTATCTCCTCATCCTTAATATGCATCATAGTCATCATCTAATACCAAACTCTTTCCGCCTTTGTCCATTTGCAGACTAGTACCACCATAAGTTCAAGGTTGTTAATCCCAGCTGGGCTCTCAATTCTACCTAGGATTATACTAAAGCTCTCTACTCAGTTTTTCTCTTTCTGAAACTGCAAGTGAAAACTTTCACCAGTCTCCTCAAATCTTTGACTCTACCACATTCTCTTATTCTCAGAAATCTACTGCATCTACTTCTCATAAGAAAATAAATATCATTAGACAGGAACTTTCTCATGTATATTCCAAATGCTAACCCTAGCTCCATCCAGTGTGGTGGGTTCTCAGAATCTTATTTTCACCATAAAACTTCCCACTGAATCCACTTGAAAAGACTCAAATTGGATCAACCTGGCTCACGATCTTGAGAAATTAGAACTGAAACTAAAAATTAAAAATTCAGTGTTGCATGCTTTCCTTTGAATGAAGAAGAAGCAAAAATGTGGGCGATGTACTCTGGCCATCTTCCACCCTACGTACATGGAACAGATTAAGCCAGTATGCATAGCCAGAGAAGAAGGCAGTGAAATTTAGAAACAGAGATGAAAGATAAAAACAAGTTATTGCATGAGTTTCCTAAGACTTCCCACGTCTTGGTGCCAGGCATTTTCAAAGTCTCAGCTATATGCTTTCACTTCCTTGGATGCATCCCTGTAATCTTATAATTAGGCTTATTCTACTAGTTTTGGTTGCTCTCTGTCACTTTTACTAAAAATTGTAAATACAAAGCACTTACGCTGTAATTGTTTCTGAAATTTTTCCTCTTTTCCCCAGCTCCCCTGCTAGATTCTGGTCTAAGCCATCATCATCTCTTAGCTGGAAAACTGCAAGAGCCTTCTAACTGGTCTCCCCACACAGCCTCTTATTCCATCCAGTCAGCTTTCAAGTCAGGTTATTTGTAGGTCATTCAATTCCACTACTTCAAAGCTTTTAATGGCTTCCCTTTGTTAAGAAGCAAAAGCTTAACATGGACTGCACAGACCTACATTATCTAGCTCCTAACTACATGGGCAGTCTCATTTTATAATAATCTCTCCATTGCTCATTGTCCTTCAGTAGACCCTAGTACTCACCAAGTCTAGCCTGCTTGGAGCCTTGATTCATTCTGTCCCCTCTGCCTGATATACTCTTCCACTCTTTCAACTGGCTGAGTCTACTTAGCCTTCAGATTTTGCATTAAATGACATTTACAATTATAATAGTGTCCCTTTACTTTTTAAGATCTGCCTCTCCCTAGTTAGACTGTAAGATTAATAGGTTAGTGGCCATGTTTTCATCATCATTATATTCACAGTGTCTGGCACACAGTAGAAAATCAATGAGTATTTGTTAAATAAAGTTATGAGTGAAGTATAGATCCAGAATATGCTACCTACATACATGGGAACCCCCAAAGGAGACAATATTGCAGAAACAATTAAATGAATAAAATAGTAAAAGAAAACTTTTCAGAGATGAAGTAGGTCTTCACAGACAGAAATGTTGTTTAAAAGGACAAGGCACAGAGACCACTAGTTTGATGTTGCGTCCAGGCAGAGAGAAGATAGAAAACATTTACCTTCCAATGAAGAAAAATATGACTTGTTTCAATAGTATCTTCTCTAAAAGACAAAAGGTAATGAATTAACATCCATAAATATCTAATAGACAATAATCTGCAGATGACTATGTAATGGACTATTTGGTGTAGTGGTTATGAGTGTAGGCTTTGAAACAAAACTCCCCTGGTTCAAATCCTAATTCCACTTACCAGTTGTTTCACCTTTGACAAGTCACTTAAGCTCTCTGCACTTCAGTTATACCATCTTCAAAATGAGGATAATGATAAGAGCTATTTCACAGAAGAATTAAATGAATCAATATATGGTTAGTGCTTGCAACAGCTGTATCTAAATATATTATCATCTAAAGTGAAAATTCTGTTACCCAAGAATTCTGTGTCCAGCCAAGTTGCTCTCCCACTGCAAAGGACTTCTTCACGTGCAAAGCTTCCTCAGCAAGTATACAACTCACCTATCCCTCCTGAAAACTAAGAAATGAATCAGAGTGAAGAATGCAAACAGAAGGAAGTCGAGGCCTAAAGGAATTGGAAGTCATCATTGACGCCATCAAAAATAACAGTGTGTAAATACTTATTTTAAATATGATTATAGCTTAATGCAAATGTTAAAGTTTACTTTTATGATAAAATATATATATTAGAAAAATTTAAATAGACAAAGCTTAAGACTAGTAAAAAGATATATTCTCAATCTCGTTAAGGAAAAACAAATAATATTCATTCTTTAGCTAAATAATATAAAATAGACATTTTCACTTAAAGATAATGACTAATAAAATAAAAATGGGTTATTTATGCTCTAAATCACTTGGAGAAAAGGGTAACATTAAAAACAAACAAGCAAAATCCTCATTTAGAGAAAATAAAAACAAGGAAAAGAAGAAGAAACCAAGATATCATAAATATTAGCATAAAACAAGATGAGAGGCAAGAAAAATCTTGTCAGTTTTGACAATAAACATACATGTATGAATCTCAACTATCAAAATATTGAGTCTATGAATGAGTCAATGAGAATAATTATAATATCATTACTGCATGCTGTTTGAAATATAGCAACATACACATGTAAAACAAAACACAGGAAGTTTACAAATCAATGAATCATTAAGGATAAATCAGGAAAACAAAGAAAAAGTATAAAGTTGGAGTTGAAACATTTATAACAGACAAAATAGAATCCAAGGGAAAATTATTTAAGCATACAATAGGAAGTACTTTATATAGAAAAAAACTTGTAATTTATTGTGAAGAAAAGAATTCATGTACTCTATACCTTTAATATGTTTAAAAAATGGTCATAAAAACACAAAGAATACAAGTACAGTCATGCATCACTAAACAACAGGGACATAGTCTGAGAAATGCGTCATTAGGCAATTTCATCATTGTGCAAATATTATAGAATGTACTTACACAAACCTAGACGGTATAGCCTACTCCACACCTAGGTTATATGGTACTAATCTTATGGAACCACGGTCATATACACAGCTCGTCATTGACGAAAACATCGTTATGCAGCATGTGAATGTAAATTAATTTCATGAAAAATATCGGCATAACCCTTTGTCAGAAATAAATTAAATATGTGAAAAATTGTTGATCTAGAAGAGTGTAATAATATAAGTAATAATGTTAGGTAAATACATATACATTATACAATATTATAACCATAGAAAGTAAACTTTTTCAAATTTCTATGAAATATTTACAAAAATTATGACTTCTTTAAACTCTAGAGAAACAAACGATCCCTTTGAAAAATAAACTCTTCCAATACAAGCAAAAAGAGGAGAACTTTCTAATTCATTTTAGTAAACTAGCATCAAATCCTAACAACACTTAAAAGAAAAAAACTATAAACTCATTTCATTTATGAATATGAACACACAAATCCTAAATAAAAATTAATAAATTAACTTACCTATATACACTATATCCAACTCAGCTTTTTCTGAAAACACAGGATGATTTAATATTAAGAAATCTATCCATATTATATACAATATAAACAGTTCAATGAAAAAAGTCTACATAACCTCTACATAGCTACATAACAGAATGCTAAGAATTTATTCAGTAAAATTCACTAAATATTATTGATTTTAAAAGTTTTCTTCAAGCAAATAGTTAACAAGACACATTGGTAAAATGCTAGAGGAATCATCATGAAAGTCAGGAAGAAGACAAATACATCTGCCACTATCACAATAATTAACATTATTTTGGAAGTTTGGAGCAATGCAATAAAACAAGAAAGAGAAATGAGAAATAAAATGTCTAAAAAATATCAGATACAAGTTATTAATATTTGTAGCTCTTACGATTGACTAAAACTGCAAAATAATTAAATGTATGAAAGAAATTAGAACTGATGATAAATTTCAGTAAAATAATCATATGTCAAATATATAACAAATAATGTTTTAAAAAATATTGTTAAAACAACAGAATACTTTAGAACAAAGTTACCATGCAAAAAGCAGTGTTTATATGAGGAAAATGTTAACCTTACAAAGGGACTTAAAAAAAAGGAAATTAAATAATATTGTGTTCTTGGGTGGAGAAAAAAAACAACTACAACAATAAAAGTGGTTAACATTTTTACAAGTGCTTCCCATAAGTCAGACTCTCCTAGACACTTATAAGTATTACCTCATTTAATCCTCATAAAAATCCCTTGAGGCAATTCAATAATTACTTCCATATTGGAAATGAGTAAGCATTTTTTTCAAGTGCACACAAAACATTCACCAAGATAGACCATATTTTGAGCCATTAAACAAACCTCACCAACTTTGAAATAATTGAAATTATACAAACTATATTCTGTGACCATAACAGAATTAAACTACAAATAAATAACAGCTATCTGGAACATCCTCAAACATTTCAAAATTAAACAGCATACTTCTAAATAACTCATAGGTCAAAGCAGGAATCACAAGAGAAATTAGAAGACATTTCGAATTGAATAAAAATGAAAACACAACCTATCAAAGTTTGTGGGATTCAGCTAAATGAGCGCTTAGAGGAAAATACATAGCATTAAATGCTTATATTAGAAAACAAGAAAGGTCTCAAATAAAAAAATTTAAGCTTCCTTAAGAAACTAGAAGTCGAAGATCAAATTAAACCCAAAGCAGGCAGACGGAAAGAATAATAAAGAACAGAAATGAATGAAATTTAAAACAGAAAAAAAGAATACAGAAAATAATGAATCCAAAAGCTAGTTCTTTGAAAACACTAATCAAATCAATAAACTTCTAAACAGAATGATCAATAAATGGAGAAGAAACAAACTACCTATATCAGAAATGAAAAAGGAGGCATTACTACAGATCCTAGGGTTGTTAAAAGGATAGTAAGAGAATATTATGAACAACATTATGCCCACAAATTCAACAACTTATATGAAATGAACAAATTTCTTGAAAGACAGAAACTACCAACGCTCACTGAAAAAATAAATAACCTAAATATTCCTACATCTAATAAAAAACATTAAATTTGTAGTTTAAAATCTTCCCACAAAGAAAACTCCAAGACCAGGTGGCTTCACTGGTGAATTCTACCAAACACTTAGGAAGAAATAATAATACTATACTTTTCCAGAAAATAGAGTAGGAGAGAATACTTTGCAACTCATTTTCTGAAGTCAGCATTATCCTGATCCCAAGAGGATAAAAAGAATTAAACTAGACATAAGAAAAATACAGACCAATACTTCTCATGAATATACTTATGAAAATCCTCAACAGAAACTGATAAATTGAATCCAGCAAAGTGTAATAAATCATGACCAGATGGCGTTTATCTCCAAATGCAAGGCTGATTCAACATTTGAAAATCAATCAATATAACTCACCATATCAACAGATTAAAGAAGAAAAATTACAGGATCATTTCGATAAATGCAGAAAAAAAAATAGCCAATATGGAGAAAGCCTATCAGCCTATCTCTCCCACTGACTGCAACTAAAACTTTGGTACAGAATACAAAAAGCAGCCACATTAGTTAAGATTCCAAAAAGTAAACCATTTATATGATATTCAGGAAAAGACAAAATTATAGGAACATAAAACAGACCAGAAGTTGAGAGATCATACGTTGGTTTTCAGAGGCTGCGAGTGGAAGAAGAGGCTGACTATAAAGGAGCATGAAAGAATTTTTGAGTGTGATGGAACTACTCTATATCTTGATTATAGCAACGATCACAGAACTTTTGTCAAAAGGTGTGGAATTGCACACTAAAAAGAGCAACTTTTACTGTATATATTGTACCTCAATAAATCTGTCTTTTAAAGATTCTGTAAAAATTTGGTATGTGAAATCAGAGTATTGTCTTTCTAGAAAGTAGAACAAAAATACTGAAATGAAAAATAGACTGGAAAGTACTCTAAACAATTGATCACTAGTCTAGGAGAAGATGAAGGAAAGAAAATCACCAAATAATACACGAAAATATCCCTAAATTGACAGTAAACTAAATGCCCGAAGTACAACAAGCGGAACAAGGTAGTTAGGTAGATAGATAGATAGATAGACAGATAGATAGATAGATAGACAGACAGACAGACAGACAGACAGACAGACCAAGCAACCCATGACTTCAGGAAGTTTTAGCAACCTAAGGTTTAAGACAAATTTCTAAAAACTTTCAGAAAGGAAAGATAACACATCACATACAAAAAGTTAGGAATCAAAATGTCACTGAATTTCTCAGGAGCAACACTGGAACCTGGAAGACAATAGAGAAATGGCTTCAAAATGCAGAGGTGGTATAGTGGTGAGCATAGGTGCCTTCCCAAATGCAGAGGGTAAATAATTTCCAATATAGCCTCATATGCACAGCTAAATTACCAATGAAGAATAAGAGTAAATTATGGACATTTTAAGATATGCATGGTCTCAAAAAGTTTAGTTTGTATGCATCCTTTATAAGACATGTACTGTAGGAGATAGTCTAGAAAAGGCAAAACTATAGGGAGTAAACTAAGAAAAAGTAATACCTGGGATTTGCAAAACAGAAGGTCCAACGCAGCGATGTAACTAAGGGAAGTCCCGGATGGGGAGAGGTCTCAGTACAACAATTAATAAGCAGACTTGGAAATACCACTCCAATTTGGAATAAGAGGTTGCAGAGCCCCAGGTAAGACATAACCAAGAGGAAAGAAGGAAACTGGTAGTTTATCTGAAGTTCTTGGCAGTTGTTTTTTGAGAAATGTTACAATTTGGTCATTAAACTTGAAGCTTAATTACTAGTGAGTACAAAGAAAAATAAATTAAAAAGATGAAGCGGTTAGTACCTCCAGGAAAAACAGAGTTTTATAAGAAAGGAAATGTAGTTATAGTACATTGTCAACTGTAACTCATATTAACATAGTCAAATAATGTAAACAGTATTTATTTAAACAAGAATTGTGATGGAAATTGGAAAAATGGGAAAAGAGGAAGTCTGTGGGGGAGAGGAAAGCATGGGAGTACGTGTAGTTGTGATGTAATAAAACTAAACCCTTATCTTCCAAAGAAGAAAGTCAATGGATAGTATGCAAATTTTAAAAAGCAAAAAGTAGCAATATAAGCTACATATGAGAGTATGATATTGAAAGACACATGGGCAAATACTTACAGATAAATACAGCTAAAAAATTTTTAAATGTTTGAGTATAAGGAATGAAAATTAACATTGAGGAAGTATAAGGCAG